TTCTAACCACTCCCTACACATACCCAAAGTGTTTGATCAGTATCGGAGATGCACTGGGCAAGAATTAGAGGATGCTGTCCGGAACCGTTTCCATGGAGATGCTCAGCGGGCTCTTCTCAGCCTAGGTAGGTACCTCCTCAGGATGTATGGAGGGGTTTCACTGGGACGGGAAGCTGAAGCCCTAGGCTGGCTCCATAACTGAATTTTGTTGTTTTTGCTTCTAGCGTCCATAATGAGAAACACAGCACTGTACTTTGCCCACAAACTGCACCAAGCCCTTCAGGTAAGAGGCACACTGCTTCCGGTCCTGCCCTTTAATCCAAGCCTGGTGCAACCTACAAGCTGCCGTCTTCCTGTGTTTACAGACTGTCTTGTCATGCGTAGAGGACTGAGCTCTGCTTAGAACTAAGTTAGTTACCCACAAGTCACTAAGTTAAAGTCTGTCTTAATGTCCATGTGCCAAAAGCAGAGGAGTTTGCTTTGTCTAGTATTTTTTGTTTTGTTTCTCGAGACAGGGTTTCTCTGTGGCTTTGGAGTCAGTCCTGGAACTCGCTCTGTAGACCAGGCTGGCCTGGAACTCACAGAGATCCGCCTGCCTCTGCCTCTTGAGAGGTGGGATTAAAGGCATGCGCCACCAACGCCAGGCTTGTCCAGTATTTTTGTCAGACGGGAAGGTGGTAAATTTGTCACAGTGGTTCTCACCCTCTGCAATGCTGTGACCCTTTAATACAGTTCCTCGTGTCACGGGGACTCCAACCATAAAATATTTTCATTGCTACTTCATAACTGTAATTTTGCTATTATGAATCATAATGTAGATATCTGATATGCAGGATATCTGATGAGACCCCTGTGAAAGGGTTGAGAACCATTGCTGTATAAAGAATAATAGGTGGTGAAAACCTTATCCCAGGACTCAGGAGGCAGAAGCTGGAGACGCATCGTGCGTCCCAGGTCAGCCAGGACTTCTTGTACTTTGGAACTGACTCCAGAATATTACTCACATTTCAATTAACCTTCACAACTATGCACTGTCCTTGTTCAATTAGATGAAAAACATTAAGTACAAAGAGATGGCAAACGCCCTGAGTACCTTTCTCCACATTGGCTAGATTTATTTATTTATTTGGCTTTTCAGGATAAGGTTTCTCTATGTAGCCCTGGCATTCCTGAAACAATGTAGATCAGGTTGGCCTCTAACTCAGAAATCAGCCTGCCTCTGTCTTCCCCAAGTGCTGGGATTAAAGGTGTGTGCCATCATGCATGGCCACCTTGGCTGGATTTTTGTTTTGTTTTTCGAGACAGGGTTTCTCTGTAGTTTTGGAGGCTGTCCTGGAACTCACTTTGTAGACCAGGCTGGCCTCGAACTCACAGAGATCTGCCTGCCTCTGCCTCCCGAGTGCTGGGATTAAAGGCGTGCGCCACCAACGCGGGCTTCTTGGCTGGATTTTATTCCTATTCATCCTCAAGCTTTAGAGAGCTTGATGGTAGAATACTTGCTGCGTGTGTCTAAGTCCCCAAATGCCATCTGTTTTTTGAAAATTTTGCCTTGTTTTTATTTTCATACTTTTTATGTATTTTATTTAACTTTATTTGCATGTGTTTTGGTGTGAAGGTGTCAGATCACCTGGAACAGTTGTGAGCTGCCATGGGGGATTGAACCCAGGTCCTCTGGAAGAGCAGCCAGTGAGTTCTCTTAACCACTGAGCCATCTCTCCAGCCCCCATCTGCCATCTTTGCACCACTCTAAAAGATGTCTGGTGATCCAGGCATGTTGGTGCACTCCTTTAATCCTAGCACACAGGAGGCAGAGGCAAGCAGATCTCTGTTTGAGACCAGGTGGGTTTATATAGGGAGTTACAGGACAGCCTGGGCTACATTGTGAGATCCTGTTTCAAAAAAGAAAAACAAAAAGGGTCTGCATATTATTGATCTACAAAGTGATCATTTTGGTTTGAGTAATTATACCAACAGAATCTAGCAATACTGTCAGATGAACTATGTCTAAAGGAAGCATATTAGTCAGGCAGTGGTGGCAAATGTCTTTAATCCACTGGGGAGGCAGAGGCTGGTGGGCCTCTGGATTCAAGGCCAGCCTGGTCTACAGATCAAGTGCCAGGACAGCTGAGGCTACACAGAGAAACCCTGCACTGAAAAAACAAAAAACAAAACAAAAAAAATGTGTAATATATAAAAGGTTGGAGTTCTCACATTTTGGTAGAGGAACCTTCAGCATCATGCCCAACTGATGACTACTCACAGGACAATCTATATGCACGCCCTTGCTCCATCATCCAGACTCCATCTGACAACAGATCATTATCATTCTTAACTGAGAAAACCTGGCTCATTATGAGTCAACACCAGGATTCATTTGAAGACCTGTGGTTATCTGTCTGAATTCCTGATATAAAAACAAATCTGTGGGCTACAAGTGGTTTGACGGTAGAGCACTTGCTTAGCTTATGAGCACACACATAAAAAGGAACAAACATGCATTTTAGTGTACTGGGGCTCTTTTTTTTTTTTTTTTTTTTTTTTTGGTTTTACGAGACAGAGTTTCTCCGTATTGTTTTGGAGGCTGTCAGTCTAGCCCAGCCTCAAACTAAAGGCGATCCGCCTGCCTCTGCCTCCCGAGTGCTGGGATTAAAGGCATGCGCCACCACTGCCCGGCATGTACTGGGGTTCTAAGACTGGAATTCTAGGAGTCAGGCAAACCAAGAGACCTGCAGCTGGGCAGTGGTGGTGCCCACCTTTAATCCCAGCACTCGGGAGGCAGAGGTAGTTAGCTCTCGTTGAGTTTAAGGCTAGCCTGGTCCACAGAGCAAGTTCCACGGCAGTTAGGGCTGTTACACAGACAAACCCTGTCTTGAAAAACAAATAAACAAAAGGCGACATACACTTGTAGTCCCAGAACCTGAGAAGTAGAAACAAGAGGATCAAGAGTTCAGTGCTTATTAAGCATGGAGTCCACACCTTAAATCCAAACAGCCGAGAGGCAAGTGGATCTCTGTGAGTCTAAGGTCAGTCTAGGGTGCACCAGACATTGTCTCAAAAACAAAACCATGGAGCTGGAGAGATGGCTCAGTGGTTAACAGTTTCTTGCTCTTCCAGAAGACCCAAGTTTGGTTCCTGCCACCTATGTTCAGCAGTTTGAAACTGCTCCAGGGATGTAAGACCCTCTTCTGATCTCCACAGGCATCTGCACACACGTGGCATACGCTCACACAGGGATACATACATGGGCTGGACATGGTGCTAGCACCCTTAGTGCCAGCATTCTGAATTTGAGGCCAACTGCCACCCAGAATGAAGCTTAGTGATAACTAGCATGTTCAAGGCCCTGGCTTTGATTCCCCAGAAAAAATATTTACTTGCTATCTTTTTGTGATTGTAGACAGTGACTCTGGCTCTGAAATTGCTTCCCCTTAACTCTACTTTGCCTCTGCTTCCTACTCACCCATGCCATCCTCCCCCTGCCCTCAATGAGAATATCCCCTAACTACCTGCCACACACTCCCAATCTATTTCCTTACCAGGAAACTGAGCCCGATTTCCAAGTGCTGATGCGGATCCTTGTTTCCCGAAGTGAGACTGATCTTCTAAGCATTCGGGCTGAATTCAAGAGGAAATTTGGGAAGTCTCTGTATTCTTCTCTGCAGGTGAACCTCTCTCTCTTTGAAGACAGTGTTTCTCTTCATTCTTTTTTTTTTTTTTTTAAAGATTTATTACACATAATGTTTTGCCTACATGCCAGAAGAGGGCACCAGATTGAATTGTAGATGGTTGTGAGCCACCATGTGGTTGCTGGGAATTGAACTCAGGACCTTTGGAAGAACAGTCAGTGCTCTTAACCTCTGAGCCATCTCTCCAGCCCCCCCTAGAACTCATTCTATAGACCAGAGTGGCCTCAAACTTAGAGATCCACTCACCTCTGCTTCCTAAGTGCTGGGTGCACCACTACCACCAGATAAATCTGGCTATTTCTTCACTTGGGGCCCTGAAGTCCTAGCTCCCCCCCCTTTGGTTAAGCGCAGGACTTGGCAACAGAGAGGAGTCTTTCCTTGATGATGAGCTGCTAGAATGCTTGGACCATGGTGGTGGCAATGAGTTTTTCTAGCTAACACTGATGTCCTCGCCTGCAGGGTGCAGGGAGAGGGGATTGTCACTCAGCCCTACTGGCCCTGTGCAGAGCCGAAGACATCTGAGACCTTCCGGCCACACCCTGACATGACATCCAAGAATCTGAGATTCGCACAAGAACACCATACACCCTAACTTCTTCTTGAGGCTGGACCTCTCAATTTCTTTGACATCCTTGTATTGCCCTCATCTCAAAGCGATGTCCTCCATCTCCATTTCGGGGAGGAGTAACAGGATGTCTTTGATAGTGTCTGCCTTACTCATCAATCCATACCACGGCTACACACCTCCATGGTAGTTGAACCTTTTGGCAAATGCACTGTCTTTTTATGTTTCCTGGGTAAAATCTGGGCAGATCAGGACATGGGCCAGGAAGAGGCCTTGGAGTTGGAGGCATCTTTGAAGTACACTTAGCTATTGAACAGGAACCTGGTTTGCCCCAGCACTGCAGTTCCCAGTCAGTAATCAACACACCCTGCCCTGGAGTCTCCTTTCAACTTCATCATTCTCTCCTCTCCAGGAAATCTCAGGCAAGACAGTTAAGGATGGGCACTGGGGATCAGAACTCGCAAAGGGTCATCCCCATGAACTCCCAGCCTTGGAAGTCTCAGTAACAGTCTCCTAGTCCACCTGTCCATGCAGGGATTTAGAAACACACCTCCAACAAGGGTTGAGAGCAGCAGTACTTCCCCAGAACATCTACCAAAACCAGGGAAGAGGCAACGTTCGGGCTCCCCCTGCTGGCTTTGTGAGAAATGACAGGCAGTTTCTCACCTCCCTGCCTCCTCCCCGGTTCACATTCCTCAACTGGGTCAAATATTTAACCCCGCTGCTCCAGGGTAGGAAAACAACATACCTCAGGAAAGAAGTTTTATTTCCAACCCCCTAGGAAGGCATTAAAAATAATAAAGATAGAAACCCAAATCAAACCCTAAAACAAACGGAAATGGGCCTTTGGGGTGGCCGAGGGCAACCGGGCAGGCAGGGACACAGAGATTCATTTCAGTTGGGTACTTCACCTATCAGCCTGGGTCTGTATATTCATGAGAATATTGCAGGAAAGGGAGTTGGGAATCAGAGACGCCCAGCCCCACATCCCCATGTGGCCCTGGCTGGAAGAGAAGACAGCAACACTGAAGGCAAGGACCATACCAAGTTTGACCTTGGTGTCTGTTGCCTGCTCTGACCCCCGGTAGGGCATATAAGTTACCCTGTATGGATCTGGGGGTGAGGTAGGGGATCCTGCAAGCAAACCAGTCAGCCTCTGAAAGACCGGGTGGGGCCACACTGTGTGAGGCAGGGTTAGAGAAGAACACAGTCTGAGTCAGGCTTCGACCTCTGTCTCCGCTCTCCGGCTGGGCGTCCAGATGTGGCTCCTCTCCCCTGTGTGGGAGTTAGCAACTAGTTACCCCACAACCTTGGTAAAGACATCAGGGGTCAAGTACCTCAGAAGGGTTTATGAGGGAAAGCTTGCAGAGACCTGTACAGAAACCACATGCACCCTGCACCAAGCAAAGCCAGCACACCCCTGCCTACCAAGAGAGGGTGGGGCAGGCTCACCTGGGGCGCAGGGGCCCTCGTTTGCACAGCTTGCTGCTGTTGGTACTCCTCTTGCTGAAGCTGCTGGGCGAGTTCCAGGTCGCTAAGGCCCAGCATGCCTTGTGGCTGCTGCTGCTGCAGGGACAAGGCAATAAGATAGTCCTAGAGAGAAAACAAGTCACAAGACAGGCTGAGACCAAAGGATGCAGATGCAGGCTAAATTTCTACACATGCTTCCTTCAAATTCTCTGCTCCCTCTAGGAAACCACGTCTATTGTCTGTGGTGCCAGGACATATACCACAAGCGAGGCCATGACCTCAGGTAATATGAGGAGGCATGGGTGTGGGGCAGCCTTCAGCCAATAAAATGCATGAAGTTCACCACGTATAGGAGACAGCTCAGATGCCAATGGATTCTGCGCCATTCTGAAAGGCCCCACACACCTGATCCACCTGCAGCTGCTTCTCTGGAGAGCTGCCCCCACCTTCTGCTCCCTGGTGTTTGCCTAGGGAATGACTTAGGTGGAAGTCAGAGTCACAGAAGCAACTGTCGCCATCCACATTATGCAGGCTCTCCCACACGACCTGCTCCTCCTGTAGAAACCCCTGGTCAGTGACCAGCAGGTACAAGTGACTCTGCAAAAGAGAAAGACATTCGGGGCTCGTGGAGCCTGGCAAGTCCAAGTTCCCTGGAGTTGATCCTCAGCACACACCCGCTTACACACTCCTCCCACAGCCGAAAAAGACCGAAAATTGGTGGGACAGGTGACACAGAGGTAGCTTACAGCCAAGGTGCAGTCAAGAGACCTTCTGAATCAGGGTGCTGACGGGAACTCAGCACTGTGAGCATCCAAAGTTTCTTAAATATGTGTGGCTGTGAGGACCAGGGAAGGACGCCTCACACAGGTGTTGTGTGATTATCCTGGTTAAGGAATCCTCGGGGTTAGAGTACCACACCAAATCCAGTTTCCTCTCCTCCCTCTGCTTCTCTGTTTGCTGATGTCTACAGAGATAAACTCTTGTTTTATTTTGTGTTTTTTTTTGGTTTTACGAGACAGGGTTTTTCTGTATTGTTTTGGAGGCTATCGGTCCCAGAGATCCGCCTGCCTCTGCCTCCCGAGTGCTGGGATTAAAGGCGTGCGCCACCAACACCCGGCCGAGATAAACTCTTTTGAGAAGCAGAAAACCTGAGTGTAGTGATGTGTGGCTACAATCTTAGCCCTTGGGAGGCAGAGGTGGGAAGATCAGAAGTTCACAGCAAGGTCAGGTGTGACAGTGCACACTTCAATCCCAGCACTCAAGAGTTCCAGGCCAGCCAGGGCTGCACAATGACAGTCTGGGTGGTGAGTAGGTCAGGGGGGCAGGACCAGCCTCTTCTACTCAATTCCTAGAGAGCTTTGGCTTCTAACTCTGAAAGACTATTGTGTGCTCTAAAGCCCCACTGTCCCTTTCCTGTCCCATGACAGCAGGCTTATTTCATATGACCTGCTCTGGCCACTGTCATTCCCAGGCAGAAGCACTGAGAACAAATGCACTGTATGTTCTCTCTTGCATATATTCCTGCACATATGTAAAGGCTTTTGTGTCAACCTGAGTTCCAGAGTGAAGACGGAGTGAGACAGGGTGCAGCCAGTTGGCACTGGACATACATCATGAATTAGAAACAGACACTTGTGGTATACCACAAGGATTTTAGGGGTTATCTGTTACCACGGCTTAACCCACTCTATCCTGCCTGACGCACTGACCCCAGAGAAAAAGGCTCAGGGAAATGACATTGTTCCTGCTCCCCTCCTCCAAGGCCCCATCACCTTGTGCTTAGTCATCGTGCTAAAGTGGTTGTTTCGAAAAAAGACACTGAGTTCATCTTCCTTAGCAGTCGCTGTAAGCTCACACAGGCCATGATAGGTCAGCTGGGCCGCAGTGGTCTCCAGGAACTGCTCCGCAATCAAGCCTGCCAGGAGGCATAAATGGGTGAGCCCTGGGTTAAACCCATGAGAGGGAAGTGCAAAACAAACGAAGAGTTGGAGTACTCTCAGCTTTAGATGTTTTGGCAAGCACGCAAAGATCCTGAGTTCAGTCCTGGGTATGGAGGCAGGCTGATCTCTGTGAGTCGGAGGACAATATGCTCCACACAGCAGTTCCAGGTTAGCCAAGGGCTAGCTACATAGAGACCTTGTGACAAAACAATTAAAACCCCACAACCCCAAGCTCAGCTCCAAAACAAACAAAACAAGATAAGGAGGTTTGTCCAAGAAGCCCCAAGAGCCTCCAGAATCCCATTTTGCAAAGCCCAACCTCACCCTGGGGTATGGTTCAGATTTAGACTTGATGCTTAGCATGTACAAGGCCCCAGGTCTGATGCCCAGCAAGGCATACACATATAAGTTGAAGCTTGGTAATACTTGTGATCCTGGTACTCAGGGGCTGGGGGCAGGAGGATCAGCTACAAAGCCAGCCTAAGCTGTAGGAGATCTGATTGCACCCCCTGTCCTCAGAATTGAGATAAAAACCTTCCTTAAAGCCTGGCTATTTTCTCATTCACTCAATACAGCTAGGAATGAGAGTGCACGTCTGCAGTCTGAGCTCTCAGAAGGTCGAGCAGGAAAAGCAGGAGTTTGAGACTGGCCTGGGCTATGTAGTGATTTAAGGCCAGCCTGAACAACGTGAGCCCCTGTACCAGAAAAAGAAAGAAAAGTCCCCTCTCTGAATTACAAAAACAATAGTAAGACCACTCAGCCATCCTTCCCTTCACATGAGATCACAAGGAAGAGGGCATCAGTGTCACCTTCTGTCACGAGGTTGGGGTCACTTGAGTGTTTACAGGTGATGATTTTCTCTACCAGTTGGTTGTAACTCAGTTTCCCAACAGCACTCACAGCCTCAGGACTCTGGGGAGAAGGATGGGGTGGGGCAAAAACAAACTGATTGTTTTTAAAGGAAGGAAATGAACCAAGCCCATTGAACTGTGACTCTATGATCAAAGATTCCTGAACTTTTGATGTCCAAAGACCTGATCTCATTTGTGTGTGGTTTCCTTGTACTGGGATGTGACTCCACCCAGCAATATTAAAAAGCAAGGAACTCTGCTTCAGTCCAGGCTCTAAATCCTATCCCCCCTCAAACTAGTCACACCCCTCCCGAGATGCCCCCCGCCTCCCGTCCTCACCTGTGGATCAACAAGCCAGCCATGGTACAGAGGTATGCCCAGCAAGTCAAAGATGCTGCATTCGGGTGTGTACTCAAAGTCAGAGACGCCTGTGAATCGCACGTTGACATCCAGACCTGTGGCCAGTTTAGGGAGCACTGTCATTGCATCATCCACATTCTGGTGGGAGAAAAGACAAGGATGGCTAGCATAGCCTTCCCCCTTCTCACTCCATCCAGACACGATCAGAAACCCTCTTCTCATCTCTGGCATTCTCACCGCCCATTCATTTTAACCACCCCTCCCCAACGGACAGGATCTCGCTGTATAGCTCTGGCTGTCCCTATGTAGACCAGACTGGTCTTGAACTCACAGAGATCTGCCTTCCTCTGCCTCCCAAGTGCTGGAATTAAAGGTGTACAATACTATGCTGGGCTGCCTGGATCCCTCTTTATCTGATTTTTTTTCAGGACAGAGATGCCAGTCTCCCCGGAGAAGATGCCAAGGTTAAGGAACCAATGGTTCAGGCCCTCTTGCAAGCCTGCAGACCCTATGCCCAATGCCCTCTTGCCTCACCTGCTGAAAGTTAAGTTGAAGGTCCTCAGACTTCTCCTGGGGCTTGATGGATAGGAGGCAGTTGCCTGTAAGACAAGAAACTCATCAGCCTACCCTACCCTGCCAGTTGTTCCAAAAGCTCAGTTTCCTCCTCTTCTGGAGAATGGGGGATATGTCTCAGGACCATGGGTTTTCAAACTCTAATCCAGAACTTTAATTTCTCAGAGGGATAAATAGGTTTATAGAGGTGAAAGACACCTCTCCACACACACTGAAAGGTAAGGACAGAGGCCAGTGCTACAGTTTGGTGCTTACAAAATATAGTCAATACTTGTGTTTGTCCCCAGCACCAGGAGCGGGCGTGCGTGCGTAGTAACTATAGGCAGAATTGGTGCTGTAACTCCAAGATCCTGATACCTTCATCTTTGCTTTTTCTCTCCAACTTTACTGAAGACATGAGGGCCCTTCCCTACCCTCAATGCCACATCAGAGCTCCAATGAGCACCCCCCAAAAAGTCACTCACCAAGATGTGTCAATAGCTCATCTGATGTGATCATTTCCTTCTGAGGGGGCAGCTTCACCTGAGGGGAGAAGGGAGAAGGGGGTCACACGTGAGCTTTTACTACTAGCAGTGAAGGAGGAACACATACATAGAAAGACGGTGATCCAAGCTAGGCATGGTGGCTCAGGACTGCAATTCCAGTATTCAGGAGGCTGAAGTGTGAGGCGTGAGGCCAGCCTGGCTTACAGTGTAAGACCTTGTCTCGAATCCCCTCAAAGCTCTGGCTTCAGAGTCTCTCAAGTTTTTGGTACCAATGCCCAGTTTACATATTCCCACCTGTCAGTGCGAGCTGCTGACTAGCTCTTAAGGACCTCCAACAAAGCTACTCTACTGGCCTGCCACAGATGCGCGAGGACCACATGTGTGAGCTTGGAAAAAAGCTCCCAAAGTGTTCTTACTGGAGAGAAGTCCCCAGTGGAACCCTGCATCATTATCTGCCCAACCAACCACTCCCCTTGGTAAGATGTCATGTCCGTGAGGTTGCAGTAACCTTCACATGCATGGTATTGTAAGGACCATTGGTGTGAATAGACCAAGCACCCCCGAGAGGCAAGTCTATGGACATGTTAATTGCCTAGTGCCTCGCAGCCCACTGGCTGAGCTCCGTTCTTACCTTCCACTGAAGAAAGAGGATGTTCATGATGGCCAGGAGAGGACAAGGGCCGTTGGTGCTCTGGGTGATGATGGGGGTCCGCTCTCCCTTCCAGGGGATCCACTTGACACAGTAGAGATCCAGATCAGGCCGCTGGCTCCTGGGGGACTGGGGAAGCTCCTGTGACTCAGAACACGCCTCTCTTGTCTGTATCTCAGGTGAGGTCCCACACAGACTTGCGCTAGCCTCAGGAGGAGGGCACTCACGATTTTCCGCATCCGCATCCTGGGCTGGTGTCAGAGCTTGGTCTCCTGGCTCCGGTTCTCCGGCTTTCCCATCAGCCTCTGTACCGCCCCTGTCCTGAGGGTCGTCCTGTATGTGATTTTCTGGTCTGGATTCAACAGTTTCTGCACTACCGGCCTTACTGGGTGCTGGAGGTTCCGCCTGGGGTTGTTCCATGGTGAGGTTAGAGTGGGCTGAGGGGGATGAAGGTGGCCCCTTGACCTCAGGGACCTTTGCTAGGTGACTCTGATAGGTAGAAGAGAGACCTGGCCAATAAGGTCATTGAGTTACAGAGCAAAGGGCAAGAAACGTCTGGAAGTGAGGAGGGCGGAGGCCACTCTGGCTCCGGTTTCAGCTGTTCTCGGCGTGGGAAAACAGAAGGCTGCGGCTCATTCTACCTCTAGCTTGCTGGGACCAGATGGGATTGCCAGGACTTGGGCGGGGATGGAAGACACCAGGCAGACCTGGCTTCCCTGAAACAGGAAACAATAGGGAATGAAGAAAAGTCAGAGGGGCTGAAGAGATGCCTCAGAGCTCTTCTAGAGGACCTGGCTCAACTCCCAGCAGCCACACGACCCCTCACAACTGTCTGTAGCTCTACTTCCGGGGCACCCACTACTCTCTGTGGCACAGACACACAGGTAAAACACCCCCACACAAAACAGAATAAAATATTTGAAAGGAAAGGTAAATGCAAAGCCCGAAAGACAGAAGGAAGAGGGCTGGAGAGAAAAATGTTAAAACTACCTACAGTGGGCTAGCGGTGCAGCTCAGTAGCATAGTGCTTCCCGAGCACCTGTGAAACTCTGGGTTTGATCCCCAGCTTCTCAACAAACAAACAAAGCAATAAACAAAAACAACCCTAACGGTTCCTAACGTGATGTTTAGCCTGCCTTGTTAAAGGCATCCTGTCAGTTACAGACACCAAACCTTGCTCTTTCCCAGAGCACTCTGAGCACATAGGCTGCTCGTATGCCTGGGGACACCTCCTCTCTCATCACCCCAGGGACCAGAGAGTAGGCATCATATGGTTGGGGACGAAGGTGCAAAAAGCTAACACCATGCTCCTAAACTCTGTGCAAAGGTGGCAAGGAGAAACCCTCAAGTCCTCAAATGACTGTATTTATTAGTTTTTGAGACAAGGTCTTACTATGCAGCCCTGGCTGGCCCCAAATTCAGATCCATCTGACAGTCTCCTGAGTGCTGGGATTAAAAGTGTGCATTATCTGTCTCAGGAGAAAGAAAAAAGTGTGTACTACCATGCTAGGGGCCTGCACCATCATGCCCAGTTCTCAGAAGACTTGGTAGAACCTTACACAATCCCAAACCAACCACAGCAAAAAGGCTAAGGAGTGGCTTCCTGTAGGGAAGGGAAATGTAGGTCACGGAGGAGCTTGTCAGTGTTAGATAAGCAACTCTGTAACCTGGGCATCCCTGAAAAGAATACTCTACAGCAGTTGTTCTCACTCTTTCGGACGCTGCGACCTTTTAATACAGTTCCTCATGTTGTAGTGACCTACCACGAATATTATTTTTGATGCTGCTTCATAACTGTAATTTTGTTTCTGTTTTGAATCATAAGGCAAATGTCTGTGTTTTCCTATGGTCTTAGGTGACCCTTCTTGAAATGGTTGTTTGACTGCCCCCCCCAAGGGGTCGTGACCCACAGGTGGAGAAACACTGTTCTAAAGAGATGCTTTATTTCATCACATTGTCCCTTACATAATTGAAAACAATGGACCCAGGGATTGAAACTTCCCTCAGGAATCTCAAGCTGGGAGGAGAAAAACACTGACGCTTGAAGACAGAGACAGGAACTTGAATACAGGAAAAGAGATTTCCCAGAGTTCTAACAACTTGTCCAACAACCTTGCAAGATGAGGCTAAGGCCCAAACAATGATAGGTCAATAATTGGCAGGAGTACATGGTGACCTACCTAGACTGCTTAGCTATGCAGAACTCTGGCTCTCTATTTAAACTTTACCCTTAACTTAGGGCTCTGAAGACAGACTTAGGAGCATAACCTAATCACTTTGTTGTTAGACCTAATGTGGCCACATTAAATAAATCTGTTGTTGCTGTTTTATTTTTCTGCTTTTCATTATTATTATTCTGATTCTATTACATTTATTTAGTGTGTGTGTATGTACACACTTGGTGGCCAGAAGGAAACTTTCAAAAATTTGTTCTCTCCTTCCACCATGTGGGACCTGGGATCAAACTCAGGTTATTAGGCATTGAGAGCCTTTACCAACTGAGCCCCTACTTTTCAGTATTCATACAGCTCTTTTAATTGGCTTATTGAGGACAAGATGCCAAACCTGGCCTATTAGGACTGCCCAAAGCACAGGCTCTGATCTTACCACCACCACCAACCTTAGAATATTTTTTGTTTTACTTTGAGACAGGGTTTCTCTGTGTAACAGCCATAGTTGTCCTATTACTAGTTCTGTAGACCAGGCTGGCCTTGAACTCACAGAGGCCCTCCTGTCTCTCCCTCCCCAGTGCTGGAATTAAAGGCATGCACCACCACCACCTTCCTTCCAGTAGATTGTTCTCCCCATCCAGAGTTGACAAAACAACTCTTCAGTTCCTGTTTGGGTGCAGCACTACCTGCACCCAGAGAGATCCCCTTGCTCGATATTTACATAAAATAGGAACTGCTGATTAATGATTTACATTTAAAATACCTTCAGATTGGAGATTGCTCAGTGGTTAAGGATACATACTATTCTTCCAGACAACCAAGGTTCAATGCCCAGCACCCACAGAGGGGTTTAAAAGGATCTATAATAACTCAAGTGGCAGGGAATTTGATATCCTTTTCTGGCTTCTGAAGAACCAAGAACATGTGGTGTACATACATAAAGGAAAACAGTTGTGGGATATTTGCACACCGTGTGAAGATGTATTGCTGTGCTTGGTGTAATAAAGCGCTGAACAGTCAGAAGCAAGGCAGGAGGAGATGGGCAAGACTTCCAGGCAGAGAGGACTCTGGGAAGAAGAAAGACAGAGCTGCCAGCCAGACGTGGAGGAAGCAGGATGGGCAGCATGGAGATGAGATAACAAGCCTTGTGGAAGAATGTGAATTTTAAAATATGGGTTAATCCAAGTCATAACTAGTTAGAAACAAACCTAAGCTAAGACTGAGCTTTTACAATTAATAGTAAGCCATTATGTGCAGGCTGGCAGTCCCAATGAGAAAGTACTACTACAGAAAACACTCATATATAGTATGTATGCAGTATATATTATATACGCTCACGTGTTATATCTGTAAATAATATATATGCTCTCCCCTCTAGTTGTGTATAGTGACAATGGCCTTTAATTTCAGTTACTAAGGGGGCTGAGGCAGGAGGATCTTTGTGAGACCCTATCTCAAAATAATAAAAAAGAGTTGGGGGCATAGCTCAGTGATGAAGCCTTGGCTGGCATACAAAATGCCCGAGTCCAAGCCTCACACCCACTGGCAACCATTCTCTGCAAGGCTCCCTTGGAGATCATTTCAGATGTGAACACTGGACCTGTTTGACTTGCTGTCTATCAGCACTAAACACAGATAAGACTACAGATAGTGACAAAAGCCCCAATCTCCCTTCAGTCTCCTAACTCCCTCTCTACTCTTTAGTGAGGACAAAAAATGGGACAGCCCTGGGGGTGTAGCCTAGCAGTAGGTCACACGCTTAACATAAACAAGTCCCTGGGGCCCAGCCCCCCAACTAAAGAAAGGAAAAACAGGGAGAAATCAAATCAAGTAGGAACCGTGTCTTTTTTTCCTTTTAAATGACTTTTGAAATAGGTGTCATTGTGCGTGGTTGCACACACCTTTAAGTCCAGCACTTGGGGGGGTAGAGGCAGGTGAGCTCTGGTTGCCCAGACTACTTTCAAGTTTCCCAAGTGGTTTATGATATGCCTGACCTGAACCTTTGTGGTCTGTCCAGCTTCTTTCTTCCTCACCTGTTCTTTTTTTTTTTTTTTTTTTTTTTTTTTTTTGGTTTTTCGAGACAGGGTTTCTCTGTATTGTTTTGGAGGCTGTCCTGGAACTTGCTCTTGTAGACCAGGCTGGCCTCGAACTCACAGAGATCCGCCTGCCTCTGCCTCCCAAGTGCTGGGATTAAAGGCGTGCGCCACCAACGCCTGGCCTCACCTGTTCTTCTAAACCTTCAGGACCTGGGGCTGGGAGAAGGCCTAGAGGACAGAAGTGACATTAGCTGGGTGTGATGTCTCAGGTCTGCCAATTCCTGCCACTGCAGGGGATTGAGGCCGGAGGGTATCTAGTTCAAGGTCTCCTGTGCTATTGGGAAACATCAAAGTTACTGAAAACAACAGAAATTTTGTCACCCAAATCAATCATTCTCCTGATTCAAATATAATTTGTGCTAGCTGCAGGTAATTTATATTTTGTTAATTTAGAATCACACTAGCAATAAGTTATCTGCAGGCCTCATTTTTGTCCCTCTCTCTCCACATCTTTCCCCCTCCCACGGCACTAGGGTGAGCCTTGAAACAGAGGCCTCGCCTGGGAAATTTGAAAAAGCCTACAGAGAAGAAGCATGGCTCATTTTCTGCCCAAGGTTAGAAGTGATCAATAATTAAGTGGGGGTTGGGAAAGCTAGCTGGCCAAAGAAAGGAGCTACAAGAGCAGAGTCTCTGAGAAAGTGGGCAGGGGCAGGGAGGGAACGCAGGGAGCCGCCACCTTGCTAGGCTCAGAGGTGGGAAGTAGGAGGGGAGGGTACCCAAGTCTTTTGTCGCTCCTTCTCTTTCTTCAGTCCAAAGCCTACACTTCTCTAACTGGAAGTGCCTATGGGGGCAGGTGAGGGAGTTAAAACACCAGGCCCCTTCCTAGCCAGCAGCAGTGACTGTCACACAGTGGAGGCAGCATTTAAACAGGAACGTACTTAGCTTCAAGAAGACAGCACCCACTCTCAGGGCCCTTCTCCCCTCAAGTCCTTTTCTGGTCCTACCCAATCTCCTCAGCTGAAGGCGAACCCTCACGGCTGCAATGCTTTGAGATTTCCTCTAGAACAACTCAAACCCTGCGATTCTTGCTCCCGAGAAGAGGGAGAGTTTGTTTATAATGGGGAAACGAGCGGACCGCATCGTTCTCTCTGCTCCCCGTGCCTTGCAAGGATCCTATAAGAGACCACAGACGGGACATCAGGTGTCAACTCCCCCCAGCCGGAGGGGGAAAGGAGGGCTGCGGAAGGAGGTGAAGAAGACAGTCTGAAAACAAAGTTTTACCTTAAAGCGAAGGATGCGGTTCCGGGAGTGGGCGAGGACTCAGTTCTGGCGGTTCGACGCGGGAGGAGGGGACATCGTCGAGGGGCGCCGCCTGCACCAGCTGCCTCCCGGCTGTCAGCCCCGGAGCTGACACGGGTTTACTCGCGCGGCGTCCAGCCTGGGTCGCGGCCACTTCCGGACTCACGCCGGGCACCGGGGACGCCGGAGGAGGGCGGGGGCGGGCGGCGCGTGGGGGCGGGGGCGCTCCAGGGCCTCCCGGCGTCCGAGTCTGCGGCGTGCGCCCCAGGCCCTGCCCACAGACTGGTGCTCAGACGAAGTTTGCGGGCTTTCTTTTTCTTCTTTCCCTCTCTCTCTTCCCTCTGTCGGGACAAAGCCGCCTGAGCCGAGGGCCCCGGAGGAGGAGGGGGCTGCTCAGCCGCGGAGGGTTTCCATCGGGGCTGTCGGGCGGGCAGGAAGGAACCGAGGGAAACAACAGACCCTTCTCGTTCCCCCGCCTGCCGCGGGAGGGGACGGACGGGGCGCGCGTGCCTCTCTGGTGAGGACCGGGAAAAGCAGGCGGCCTGGAGGAGCGGGGAGGAGCCGGGCAGCACGGCAGCGGCCGCGGGGACCTCCCTAGATGCCTGCAGCAGAGCTCTGGAGCCAGCGAAGCAGGGAGAAAGTGCATAGTGTCTATATATATATATATATATATATATATATATATATATATATATATATATATATATATGTTTTTTTTTTAACGAGACAGGGTTTCTCTGTATTGTTTTGGAGGCTGTTGGTCCATCCTGGCCTTGAACTCCCAGAGATCCGCCTGCCTCTGCCTCCCGAGTGCTGGGATTAAAGGCATGCGCCGCCACCGCCCGGCTTAGTGTCTGCATATTTACTCGTTTAATATGAAAGGGAAAAAATATCCCGCTTCTGTTTTCCTGGAGCCTCCCCTACCCCACTCCTTTTAAAGTCTTTCCCTTCCTATGGTTTTGTGTGTATGTGTGTTTTTAGGCTAGAAATAAAAATGTTGAGCTGTGTACCTGGTTAATACATCTAAGGCCAAGAAGACACCCTCTCGTCCCCTCTCACTTCCCTGAGGAGCGGGGAAAAAGATTAAAAAATGAGGGAAGATGTTACGAGGAAGGGACACCCCCACCCGTGGTCTGCGCTGGGGCACGAAAGTGGCAGTTAAGGAGGGGTGTTGGAACCTAGTCTCACATTCTGAAGGCTCCTCTATTGACGTGGCTGCCACAGGATGAGACTTGAAGCAACTCTGAAAGCTGAGCGAACAGTTGCAACAGAGGAAGCACAGTCGCGGTTGCAACAGAACAAGAATGGCATGGGGAGATATTTGTCCAGGAGGAGCTGGCACGACTGCAGACTTTAAGAAGACAGGTTAAACATTAAGCTAATGTTCTCACAGCGTGAACAAACACATCACTGATCACAATTAGGTTAGTTTCGTAAAGGGGGGGAGCTAAAAGAAAACACCTAACATGAGAAGCTGTTTTAATAAAATATAGAGATATGTTGTAATTTAAAGTCCCGACCAGGAGGCTTGTGAATCCAGCATTCAGGAAGCTGAGAAGAAAGACAAGCTTGGGCTACATAGCAAGATCTTGTATTTTAAAAAAAAAATTGGAGATTAATTTACATAAAATCTCAAACAGATCCTTGGTGTAATGTATGGAAAGATGCTATAACTAGTCCTATTTGAAAGAGCAAGTAGTTCAGATGCCATAAAGGTGAGTTATTGTGACACACACACACAATTTGTATGTCATAGCACTCAGAAGACTTCCCACTTGTGGACACTTAGGAACTTCCGGACTACATTTCCCAGGAGGTATCGCGACACGCTCCTCCTCGACCTCCCATGAGTCTCTGGGCTCAGAACTCAGCCTCCGCCTCTGGGGGCGGGGTAACGCCGGACTCCGGGCGTGCTGGATTACGCACTTCCTCCTGGGGTTCGGAGGCTGAACCCTTGTGTGGCGGGTTCGAGTCCCGCCCCCTGACTCTCGGCTCTAGCCCCTGAGTCTGGGGAGGGGTGCATTCGGCCGGGTTACCTCTCCTCGCCGAGGGGCGGCGGCACACCTCGGGCTTCACTATGGAGGACTACCTGCAGGATTGTCGAGCCGCTCTGCAGGTAACGGGTCCAAATCAGTGACCGAAAGGAATGCAGCGTGGGGTCCGGGAAGGACGAAGGTGTGGGCTTCGGGAAGCCCTGACGATCGGTGTGGAGGGATCACAGCGGAGGACGCGGGGGAACTGGGGACCAAACCTGTCGCCCATGGGCGGGAGAGCCGGAGAAGCGAGACTCCCCTCGGTCGCCAGAGTCGGGTCCCTCAGCTGGACCAGTGAGGCGGCCGCCAGCCTCGCCCGGCGAGGTGTGTCTGCCCCTCTCCCCGCCCCTCTCAGGTTCCCACCGGCGAGCCGGGCTGCAGCCCGCTGGCCTCCAGGTGAACCGCGGGGATGCGGAGGGTACCTGGGTGCGTGGTTTTATTGCCTTCTTTTTCTAGACAGGCAGAGGCGTTCATAATGTTTTACTTTAAAAATCTGTTTTTAAGCATCAGGTATATATGTTGATCCACAACTTACATTCCTTTGCCTCCAGGGTTCTCCTTTAGTCTTCTTTACACACAAAAACGTAAAAATACCCCCGCCTTGCTGAGGGATAAACACAAAGTGTGTTTGGAATCTAAACCACAAGCACAGCCCTGGATGCTTTGTAGCTTATTTTTGGTGCTTTCTGAGCCAGCTGGACTCACCCAGCCGCGCTGACAGCCATGGCAGCTTTGGATTTATTCCCATTAGAGGCTCCAAGTCACCTGGCCCCTTACTGTGAGTTTCTCTGCCCCTGTAGAAACCTAGACAGATGGCTGTCTTCCTTTGAAATAACTTAGCTGGGTGTGGTAGCCACATGCCTCTAGTTCCAGCACTTGGGAGGAGGAGGCTGAAGGTTCACCAGTTCTGGCCAGCTTTGGGCTGGAAAAAAAAAAAAAAACAACCCACAAAAATAGAACAAAACTTAAAATTCCTTTGAGCAATAAATTCTTGCTTTAACGCTGAGAGTCACCTAATTCGCTGTAGACTCAGCTGCTGGTATAAATGAATATTCTCAATTTCATTTGGGGTGAGTTTCAATTTGATGCCAGCTACACTAAAATTTCCTTTTTAAAACATCTGACCAGGCTGAATAGCTGTAATCTCAGCCTCAGTAGGTCGAGGAAAAAGACTTGTTAGTTTAAGTGTAGCCTGGGTTATATACAGAGGTCTGAGGAAGCCTGGACTCCATGGTGTATTGAGACTCACCCCTCTTCAAAACCCCTTGGGGGGGCATAAACCCACCATATTTTGAGGAAATTGCATGAGACAAATTGGAACCAATTCTAATTGTTTTTTTGTTGTTGTTGTTGTTGTTGTTTTGCATGTAGGATCCTCCTGATGTTAGACAAGAGATGTGTGTCACCATACTTGGCCTGAGGTCTGCATTTTGTTTTTGCTTTTGTTTTTTTTCTGAGACAGGGTTTCTCCGTGGCTTTGGAGCCTGTCCTGGAACTCATTCTATAGACCAGGCTGACCTCGAACTAAAGGTGTGCGCCACCACCACCCGGCTTGTTTTACTTTATATATAGTGTGCTTGTTTTTGAGATGGTCCTTATGTAGCCCAGGCTGACCTTGAAGTCCCAATATAGCCAAGATTGACCTTGAACTTCTGGTCCTCCTGCTTCTACTTCCCAAGTGTTGGGATTATAGGAGTCTGCTGTGATGCCCAGTTTGGATATCCTTTATTTGTTTAATTTTATTTATATGAGACAGAATCTTATTATGTAGCCCTGGCCAGCTTGGTACTAAGTAGACCAGACGAGTCCCAAACTCAGAGATCTACTTGCCTCTACCTCAGAGTGCTGGGATTAGAGGCATACACCACCTTTAAATGACAGGCCCTTTACAATATTTTTTCCTAGTTGGTCAGTGGTATCGTACTCCCAGCACTCAGGAGGCAGATCAGGCAGATCTCTGAGTTCCAGGACAGGCTCCAAAGCTACAGAGAAACCCTGTCTCGAAAAAACAAAAACAAAAAAACAAAAAATTTTTCTTTTTGATTTTGTGTGTGTCTGCACTCTTGCATTTAAGTGCAGTGCCCATGGGTTCCAGGAGAGGACAGTGGATTCCCTGGGACTGAAGATACGGGCGGTGTCTGTCACCTGTGTGGGTGCTTAGTCCTTTGTAAGTTCGGTATGAGTTCTTAAGCACTGAGCCACTTCTGTAACCCCTAAAAAAATTGCTAAGTTAAGTTTTATTTATCATTTATTGATGTCTTGGGGACCTCACCCATGTAATGGACACATGTGGAGATCTGAGGAAACACTGGGGAATCTGTTCTCCTTCCTCCAGGTGGGTCTTCGGGATCAATTTTAGGTTGTTATGCGTGATGACAAATGCCTGTATCTGCTGAGCCATTTCATCCCCTTCCTCTCTCCCCTTCTTTCTGTCTCTCTCTTTCCAAAAAACAATGGGGTTTCCATCATGGCATTTTCACCCATGTACGCACGCACTCACGCACGGAGTTAAACTTTGTTCTCATTTGTTCCCCTTTGTTGCTGGCTCTTTTTTCTTGAGATAGAATCTTGCTCTATAGCTCAATCTACTCTGGGACTCTTGGTCTTTTTGTCTCAGCCTTCCAAATGCAAGAGGGCATCAGAACCCATTACAGATGGTTGTGAGCCACCATGTGGATGCTGGGAATTGAACTCAGAACCTCTGGAAGAACAGCCAGTGCTCTTAATCACTAAGCTATCTCTTCAGCCCTGAGAATGTTGTTGTTGTTGTTTGTTTGTTTGTTTAAAGACCTACTTTTGAAGATTTTGGAGAAGAATTACTTATTTATTTCTGGGTTTTTGAGACAGGGCTTCTTTCTGTGTATAGCTCTGGCTGTCCTGGAACTCACTCTGTAGACCACGCTGGCCTTGAACTCACAGAAATCCTCTGCATCCCAAGTCCTGGGATTAAAGGTGTGCACCACTACCGCCTGGCAAGATTTTTTTTTTTAATTTTAATTATTTGTGTGTGAGAGTGTAGGTGCCATCGGAGGTTAGAGGTCCTACATTCCCTGGAGCTGAAATTACAGGAGGTTGTAAGCAATCCAGTGTGGGTGCTAGAAATGAAACTTGGTTCTTTGCAAGAGCAGTGAGTACTTTTAACTGATGAGCCATCCTTTTAGCTCTTAAATATTTGTGTGTGTGTGTGTGTGTGTGTGTGTGTGTGTGTGTGTGTGTGTGTGTGAATGTGAGTGTGTGTCTCTGCACATGCATGCATGTATCTAAGGAAGCCAGAGGAGGGTGTTGGATCCCCTGGAACTAGAGTTACAGGAAGTTGTGAGCCCCTGACTTGGGTCCTGGGAACAAAATTTCTGTACTCTGGAGCACAAGCACTCTTAACTGCTATGTCTCCAAACACTAGCGTATTTATGACACCATTCTAAGTGCTGTCCTTTTGGGAGTTTCCCAGCATCATGTGAATAACTGCTTTCATTCCCGCCATTTAGTGAAAAGCCCTTGGACTGGAACCCTCACCCCGAAGCAGGAATCTTCTTCCCAGCATGTACTCTTGTCTCAGTGAGGGTTTCTATTGCTATGAAGAGACACCATGTCCACGGCAACTCTAGCCAAGGAAAACATTCAATTGTGGTGGCTCACTTACTGTTCAGAGGTTCAGTCCATGTCATCATGGTGGGGACATCGTGGCATGCAGGCAGACACGGTGCTGGAGAAGTAGCTGAGAGTCCTACATCTTGCAGGCAACAGAAGTTCCTAGTCCCTGACACTGGGAATAGCTTGAGCATAGGAGAACTCAAAACCTGGCCCCTCAGTGACATACTTCCTTTAACAAGGTCATACCTCCTAATCCTGCCGTTCCCTTTAGTGACCGTTGTCTCTCAAACCACCAGAACCCCCCTTACCCATTCCCCCAAAGTAACAGCTCATTGACACTGTTACAATGTTTGGCAATATATTTGACTTTCCAGTGTCACACTATCCCAACGGGTCTTCACATTTCTCCTCTAAGAAGCAGAGTATAGCTCCTTTGTGAGCCTGTGTGCAGGAAGCTGAAGGTGACTGAGCCTCGGAGTCTTCTCAGCACATAGCCTCATAGGGCAGGGAGTAAACTGAGCACCAGACTCTATTATATTAGCTTATAAGCCAGTAGCTATGCCAGGGGATGCCAGTAGTTTTAATTCTTTTTTTGTTTTGTTTTGTTTTTCGAGACAGGGTTTCTCTGTGGCATTTGGAGGCTGTCCTGGAGCTAACTCTTGTAGATCAGGCTGGTCTCGAACTCACAGAGATCCGCCTGCCTCTGCCTCCTGAGTGCTGGGAGTAAAGGCATGCGCCACCACTGCCCGGCAGTTTTAATTCTTTTTAATTACAGAAATATTATATAAGGAAAATATTGAAGCACAAAACAGCTATGAAGTGAAAAAGATAAAGATCTTTTTTTTTTCCTTTCCATCCAGTTCCCCCAGAAACTGTTAGTTTCTTTTTTTAGAAGAAATCTATGTGGATGTGTGTGTATTATTAAATACACTGGAGCTGAAATTACAAGCTGTTGTGACTATTCCACGTGAGTGCTAGGAGCTGCTGAGCTGCCTCTAGCCTCCTGTTAATGTTTCTTATACAGAGAGAGCCTAATCCCAGCCTGGTCTACATAGCAAATTCCAAGACATTAAGGGCTACGCAGAGAGACCCAGTGTCAAACAAACAAGAGCTTGTTTGAAGGGTCAAGCAGAGGAGGACAGCCACATGTACACCCTTGACCAAAGAGCAGTCTTCCGAGAGAGAGGGTTGTCCTCTTCTAGGGCCAGTGCATCTTCGGGAGGGGTGGAGAAGGGGTGGAGAAGGAGGAAACCGGATACTGGCCTAGCAGGGTGGAACAGCAGAACTGGTCCCTGTGATCAATGGATGGACGGACGTCTCAGCCAGGTCACCTTCACTGCCGCATGTGTAGAGAGCCGGGTGCCGACAGACACACTGTTACTTGTGTGAGAGCTGGGGATGCTTGGCTTTTGCACAGGCCAGTAACAGCTGATAATGCAGCCAGTTCTCCTGCAACACTGTATTTTTAGGATGTGACACCAGAGAACTTTTC